CGGCCCCGGCCCAGGCGGCGGCGGATCAACTCCGCGGCGCCCCCAAGGCGCCGGTTTAGCCTTCGCCGCCGCGTCCCCGCTACTCTTCGGCTCCGACATGGAAGATGGACCTTCTAATAATGCGAGCTGCTTCCGAAGGCTGACCGAGTGTTTCCTGAGCCCCAGTAAGTGGCCTGGCTCCACGTTTCCCGGCGGGAGGGCGGGCCCTCGCCCATTGGGAGACGGGTCGCCAGGATTCCGGCCGCGGGGTGGCCGGGAAAGTATTGGGGCTCGCGGCCAGCAAGGTGCGTGTGCCCCGGGCGTTTGGAGCCCAGAGGGCTTCTCTGGAGGGGCAGGAATCTGGCGGCACCTGAATGGAGCTTGGGAACGTTTGTCAGAGCAGGGACACCGGGGTTTCCCAGGCTTGCCGTGCGCGCGGGGGAAGGGTGACCCGGGGAGGGCGGCGGGAACCCGGCTTTTAGAACAGGACCTGCCTCCTGCCTCCAGTGCCCGGGCGGGCCAATGTTCTGCCCACATTTGTCCGGAACCTGTTTATATTCTTAACTTTGTGACCACTGAATCAAGGTCTCGCTCTCTCGAGCCTGTGACTACTTGGCTGGAGTCAAGAGCTTCCTTCCTTCCACTTGGGGGTCCCACCCACTGGGGATGCCTGAAGTTGGGGCGACAGGAGGCCAGGCCCTTGGAACCCCTTGCTTCCAAATGTGAAGGCACTGCTCTTCTCCAGGGTCCAGTGTCTGGGCCCCGGTCCCTCCCTGCTCTCCCCTTTCCTCCTGAAGTGGCTGTGTTCCTGCGCGTGGACTAGCCAGTGTGGAAACGGGTGCATCTCCACAAAGGGAGCTCACCCCCCACCCATCGTGCACTTAACGTAGATCCCGGGGATTAGCTGGTGTTCTGGGTGGGAAGAAGGGGAAGGACAATGGATTGTCAGGATGGAAGAGAGAGGCGCTGACAGTTCCCACCATAGGATGCGTCCCCGGGCCCACTGTGGCGGTAGCCGCTCCACCTCGCCACCTGCGGGCGCGGGGCTCAGAGCGCTTTGGGTTAGAGGTGGCAGAAGGCGTGTCATGGTGAAGGGGGACAAGACTGAGCTGAGAAGTCAAGCAGAGGTTTTCTAGGAGATAGGAACAGGCGGGAGATGTGGAGGAAGGAGGAGGCGCCGGGTTCCCAGAGGAGGGGGTCGCTGCTGTCGTGGATGGAGGAAGAGCAGGGTGAGGACGGGAAGACTGGGCGGAGGGCGGGTGAGGCGGGGTCGGTGGCAGCTACTCGTGGTCCAGGGGTAGCCCATGAGGCACCGGATGACTGGGGCGCCAGCCGGGCCGGGCGCAGCTCCCCAGGCCCAGAGCGCGGCTTCGGAGCCACAGTCTGCCGCGTGCGCAGGGAGCCTTTGTCTGCTCCTGGCAGGAGAACCGCGTTTCCGCAGCGCCTGCTCTGGGCAGCCTCTTCTAGGCTGGCTGTTTCGGTTTCCCGCTCCCAGGGGCCGCTCACTCCCCGGCCTTCCTGGCTACCCCGCCTCTCTCAGCTGCCCTGGGTCGCACCCTCTTGGGAGCTGGAGCTTGTTTGGGCTCACCGCCTGCCCAGGCATCTTTGGGGTGTAGCCTCTAGCCATGTGAGCTCGTCCCGCGCTGGGCCTGGCTGCCCCCAGCGATCCCGCCCCCAGGAGCGGGCCATTCCCTGGCGGCCGCGTGGCCAGCAGCCTCTTGCACGCCGGCGCGCGGGCTCCGGCCGCTGGAGATGAGCGGAGTCTCTGCTTGTTCTTGTACTTGATTGACCCGAAGGGCGTGGGCGCTTTGCTCCGAGCTAACCCCTCAGTCCTGTGCCCCCCCGCCCACCTGACGCTGTAGTGGAAAAGAGATGTGCCAATGGGTGTGGGTGGAAAGAGCGTGTGACCTCTCCTGCCGCCCTGAGATGTGGTCAGCAGAGGCATTCTTACTGAAATGGACCCCCTTGGCCATGAATTGAAGGTGGTGCCGGGAGAGTGTGAGTCCCCACGAGGGAGCTCTTTGGTGGGCGTGCTGGGATCAGCCTATAGCTCTAGCCCTGGGAAACCTGTGGGTCCCCTTCCTGGTGCACTTGGAAATTCCTCTTTAAAAAATAAACATCTACTTTTCTCATTTGGCAGTGGAGGGGACAGGGGACAAAAGCTGCTGTACCTTACAAAGACAAGCTGTTTGGGGGAGAAGTTGGTGCTTCCCAGCCGCATAGGTGTGGGGTATGGAAGGAACGTGTTTCCCTGAGAGGACCAGGTTCTGCCTTGTGCTGCAGTGGCTGCTGCTTGTTGGCTCAGGGCTACAATGGCTGTTGTGGAGTAGAATAGACAAGAACAGCTCTAGGTAGATGCTTAAGTTGCCCCAGGGCATCGTTAGCTGGCTTTCCCTCTAGAGGGACAGAGGACGTGCCAGCTGTCCCCCGGGCTGCCTTCCTACCCTTGTCCTGAGAAGTAGTTTTGGGCTTTGATAGGAGCTGGAAGCTCCACAGTCTTATTTGGGACATTACTGAAGTAGTAGGGGACTAAGATACTTCTAACTGGAATCTACTATTAGTCATACCTCACTGAAGAATGAAAGGAGTGTAGATGGATTCTTCAAGAATACCGATTTCTGCTCTGACACACTTGTCTCCACTTTTTGGGTCTTCAATCTCTTGGTTGCTGCAGAACAAGCCCTGTGGGTCTGAATTGCTAAAGTACTTAAAGCTTGTCAGAGTTCTATGATATTTGTCATTAACAGTTAGCTTTTTTGAAAAAGAATTGCTGGGTTCTGAACGAATGTAAAAATGCCCCAGAGTATTCAAATATGTCCAGTTGTTGATTTTTATTCCTTTTTCCATCTTTGAGCTCCTCTTCGCCTGTCATGTAAGTTGTCCTGTAAAGTCTGCTGTGTCCTGTTATTGCTGGTACGAGTGTCTGTTCAATTTTTGTTATCATCAAAAGCAGACCATGTGCTGGGGGCATCATGTCTCAGCCCTGTCCCATCATTGTAGGTGTACATTTCGGATGTTTGCACTGGCCAGCTGGTCTACTCCGTCATGTGCTGAGGAACTTGTTAAGGTGACTGCCAGGGGCCAGGCCAGCTCCAGCCAGGCGGGGGGATAGAGCCCAGCATGGAAGCTGCAGAGCCTCTGTGTGTGTGGGGGACTCTGCAACAAGAGGGCATAAGGAGCCTCCAGAGGCAGGTTGGGCAGGATGGCAGTGCTGCTGGGGTCCTGGTCACCAGGCCTGATGCCCTCACTCTGTCCTTATCAGGTCGTTCCTGGCTTCACTGCATTTCAGGACATCTGCCTTTAGTTACTGACATCTGGGCTCTCTCTGAGGCACCAGCTTCACATTTCACTGAAAGCCACTGGTTGGGATAGAAAGAAATCACGCACATGGGGAGCCCAAAGGGTCCAGAGAGCTCAGGGGGACTCAATTTGTAGTGCATGTGTGTATGATGGGAGGCCAGTCTGGGTGCCTTCTGCCTTGTGGAGGAAACACCAGGCTGTCTGCCAGGTGTCCAGGGCCACGTGTCGCACGGCAGTGGAGGGTGCAGTGGTTGGAGGCACAGGAAGCACCATGGGAAGGAGGCCTGCGAGGCTGTTGAGGATTCTGCCTTGAGCACGGTCAGAAGTCACAGTTACTCCCAAACCCTGTAATGTTTCCGAGTCACTAGTTGACTACCTGGGATGATGCAAAATGCTGTAGAAAAGGAAAACACGGGTTAGTGGTGGGCACAGGAAAGGGAGGAAGATTAGGTGGGGAAGGTGTGAATGCAGACGGTAATCCCTTCAGACTGCAGCTTGCTGTGTGCTGCTCAGCTGTTCAGATAGAAAATATGTGTCTCCAGGAGCTGTGGGGGTTAAATATGCTCCACGTTCATCACTGGCCACTCTCGCTCTTGAGACATAAGGTACTGAGTGGCTGACACTTGAGCAAACTGAGATAAATATGATCCCTTTCAAGAGCGGGTGTATTTAGCACATACAAGCTATGCTAGACTTTGCATTGAACTTATCTTTACAGGCTCTTGTGAGATGAGTTTGCACAGGAACGTAAGATCAGCAGCACAGCAGTGGAGACGGGGCTAAGTCAGTGGACAGCCAGCTAACAGGCCACTGTTAAGTGCCCACTCGGTGTGAACTGCTGTGGGGAGATGGAAATAATGATAACACTTCCCTCAGAGGGACGGAAATACAGCTATGGATACCTATAACTCTGAGAGCAAAGCGAGGCCCTGACTTCTTCATGCAGGGACAAGGTGTGAGCAGCCCTCGGCAGAGGGGGACCTAGTTTTTGGCTGAGAAATGAGGGAAAAGCTATTTAAATTGGATTATTTAGATTATGCATCTGTAATTTCATAACATTCCACCTTTAACTTCAAAGAACCTGAATGGTCACAGAGAACCCCGAGAGTGTGAGAGTAGAAGAAACATTAGGAAATGGTGTCTTCTGCCCTCCCAGCCCATACACAAGCCTTGGGTAATTTTTGCACGTAAAACTTTTTCTACCCTATTAGGGGGAATAATTACGATCAGTAATCAGTAATACATTGCGATCAGTAGTCCAGCAAATATTAGGGTTTTGCTTACTGTGAAGAGGTTGAACATGGTATGGTAAACATTTTACCAACTAATGCATTGTTAATTTTTGTTTGTTTAAAAACAGCTGATGTAGTTTGAAGAGAAGAAATAATTTTCATGTAAAAGGAATATTTTCCCTTAAAAGGAAAACTTAGTTGTAATTCAAAACATTTTAATTTCCTTTTAAAATGTAAATCAGGCTCCTGCAGCTGATGTGTCTTTTCTCTAAGTCTGTCTGAAGGAAGGCTGCAGGGACAGAAGCCAGGGAGACAGAAGAAGGCCCCAGCCCTCTTATTAGTTCCACTTAGCACTTAGCACTATCTTGTTCATTTATCGGGCACCTGTTTCTTGCCTGTCTTCCCTCCCCAGAAGGCAAGCTCCTGAGAGCCTGAGTCTGTAACTGTGGCTGACAGACACATGGAAGGCACTCAGATACTTGTGCTGGAAATTCAAAGATGAAACAAACAAAAATTTTTTAGGAAAGACAACATGGTGCCTGTACTCAAAGGTCTTAGAAATTGCTGAACGTAGACATTGGAAGCTCACTCTACTTTAAGCTCTGTTGTAGGGACCTAGGATTCAAAGGGACATGAGACAAAATCAGTTGTTT